CAACTAGCAGAAATTCTGCAAATATTTTTTATTGCTTAAAGAAATATGGCGCGGCCACGTATAGCTGTTCAAACTATCAGTCACTAGTACAAGTCCTAAGTATCAGTCATTTAACACCAATACTAAATATCAGTCACAAATACCAGTCAAAATTACCACTCACAAGAACAAGTCCTTAGAATCGGTCTTAATCGGTTTCTGATCACTAAAGATCAGTACTTAGTACCAGTCCCTTGTAGTACCAGATGTTGGTGACACAGTGGAAGGACTGGTCACTGTGAGATGTTGTTAGGCACACCAAAAACCAATAATGGTGGTTGGCACCAAAGTGTGTACGACCTGCTTCTGGCATTCCTCCCACAAGCCATAACATAACTGAAATACTCTTCAAAGTGACAATAACAAGTATCAGCCACAACAGACATGCTGTGTTAGACACACTGGTCTCGGGGGTGCTAAGTTAGTTCATGCAAATAGATCAAATTTTAAAATAACGTAATCATGATAGGGATCCTGGCTATACTGCCAAGTACCAGTTATGAAACTTACATCAAGAAAAATGTTTCAATAATATTCCTTCAGAGAAATACTTGGTAGAGACAAAATTCGGTAAACTCCTTGAGAAATAGTTACAGCCAGAAACTTGATCTCCCAGAGGCATTCCCATCCATGGATTTTGCACTACCACCACATATAAAGTACCTATATTAAGCATAAAATATTTTTTCATTAACTTCAAACACACTGCAAATTCTAAGATAATTGATTATCAAAAGAGACGTGAAATGCATATATGGAATTTCAGATTTAGATTTTGTTAAATGCAAATTGCCTGCAGCCGAAGCATATTGAAACTATCTGAATCCGAGACAAGTTGAAATTGAAAAGTCTTCAGCATGATGTCAGCTATATATATATAGACGGAAATCAATATCATTCAAGGGAGAAAACTCTTTCAAGACTGATACCTTTTCCTGAAGGCTCTTCCTACAAAGTAACGAGAAACTGTTTCAATTTGCCATTCCATGAAAAGTATAATTTTCCCGATTGCAGCCCGAAGACATTTTAATGTATCTAAGAGGCCGAGGCTTAGGCACAGGTAATTGTCCATACTTCTATCTTTTACAAGCCAAGATCTAAGGCCATTTTTTCCCTGTTAACAAACATGGAGTGGAAGGCATGGAAAAGCTAATAAGGCTTATAGTTTAATGCTGACTGACAGCTTTCCACCCAGTGATGTCGACATCAAAAACCTGACATCACACTGGGATTATTCTGCACATAGAAAGTCAGAGCCACCACAAACAAAACCATGCATGCAACATTTTCTTATTCCTCCTAAAACTTTTTTCAGCAGACTGGTTTTGCAAATTTTAAGACTTTACCAGTGTGTAACTAGGCCAAGAGCGTACAGTTAAACTGCATGTGGCTAATTCAGTCTTGATAGAAATTTTCTTTGAGAGAGACAGCTGAGACGAAGGCCATTAGGCGGCCATTTTGAAAGGTATCTCCTGTTCGTGTCTCGTCAACTCACATGTAACTGTCAGTTTGGAATGACAGGATCGCCTTTTGAACGTATTCACTTAAAGCTCTCGACGTCCACAAGATGCAATTCCAAATTAGAAAGATCTCGAAGAACATGACACTCTGACGACTTTCAAAGACCATACCCCATTAAGTAAATGCTAAAACTACTTTAAAAAGTAGCTCGTTCGAACTCTTATTGGCCTCATGAGCATTTCAACTCACTAAAATCTCCTTGAAAACTCAATAAAGCATATAGATAATCCTAAATAGAAACAAACAGCAATTCTCTTAATGTTCCTGGCTCAAAAGCATAGTCATGTACTGTGTGTTTTGACAGTAGCCCATGTTCATTGTTTTCCTCAGTCATTAACACGGAATTACACCATACACCATTATTTAACTGATTCTCAAAGTGTGGATACCGGACAACATATTTTTCCAACGATCTCTGAGGACACAACCATGTTATGGCAATCTTCCATTCTGGTTTAGTGGTTATAGGGTCATCTTTCTAATCAAACATTCTTGTTTAAAATTAGTTATCATCACCTTAACGATTTCAAAAAGTCATGAAAGCCATGAAGGAACAATGGTCATCACACGGGACTCAATTATCTGGTATGGTATTATCGCCTGGTTCTACACCTCCATCATAACATCAAACAATCCAAAGATATATATTCTGTAATCTTTCACCTTTTGGTCTAAGGGAGGAACAGGTTACAAAAACAACCAGCACTTGTCTCCGTGAACTAATTATGGAGAATAATAAAATTTATAACCCATGTAACAATAAAGCATTGTGTTTCAAGGATATGAGTTATCAGGGCTTTGTGAGACACAGATTGTTACTATGGTAACCATGGACAGAGGACAAAACATGGTCATTTTTCTTTCACAGTTCCTGTCGTTAGCAGGTCGCCATGGCGATCAGAATGGCACTGTCTTGGCCAGAACCTATGCACATGCCATGGCTTAAGGTTGGCGCTTGCATATGAGTGATAATAGCATAGCGGTCGATAACACCATGTTCAACCTCAAGCTAGTTATCTTTTCTTGCAGGTGGGAGCAGGATGCCTTGATAAGCAGCACTATGGTGCAATAAATATAAAATAGTCCAGCGCGAATACGAACACACTAATCAATATGTCGCCAACCCTGATTCAGCTGACGCTCACTCAGCAAGGTGTTATATACGTGTCGTATGATGTAGATTATGCTTTATGACAAACGCCATGACAGCCCTGTCTAGTCAATATCCCTGACAAAGATTCAATACTCCCACCAGGGCTTTGGTCAAACACGGATATTATGTCCCCAATCCATGTTCAAAATTGCAGGCTCTGCCATTAGGAAATTTGATATTGGAGGACTTGACAAGTTATGTTTACCTGCAAAATTCACCAAAGAAGCCTCACTATTGCCCCCATATTTAATGCACTATTCCCAGTTTTTTAATATCATTTCATATAATTTAATATCATACATCACCCACCTCAATTGTCTGAGTAAGAGCATACCATTTTCTGAGCTTTATTCCTACACAATCGAATAGTGTTAAATTTTACATTATCGAAAGTCTAATTGCTACGAATTCTAAAAGCACAAAATTTAAAAGTGGGTAACTCCCGCAGCGTGAGCAAGGGACTCGTTAGCCGTAAGTCTGGTATTAAAGCAACCGCAACGGCAGTGTGGCCTTAATAATTAATGAGCACGGACAGGCCTGCCCTTGTGCCTAGTTATTGAGGTCGTTAACGGCCCAGCCACCTTGGTCTAAGCCAGAGAGTAAATCTTATGAATATTTCACAATCCTAAAACGATTTACTTTAGAAAATTCCGACAGCACATGTGTTGCACTAATCTGCTGGAATTGCTAACGGCACTCACAGGTTTGTAGTTTTAGTGCCTAGATGTTTGTTTGCTTTCTTAAGATTACCAAATCTCTTGCTTTTAGCATATAATTTATTCTGCGCTACCTTTCAACAGAACTTGCAGTAATATCTGTATGGAAAACCTTGATAAACTGATTCTTGGACAGACTGAATCAAGGCTTCATGTTGACATAAGACCATGTAGGCGATATGATGATTCATTGCTACCGAGGTTTAAGGTCACAGTTGTTGGAAAAACGGAACAGGTGTATTTCTAAGTGTTACATTCAATGCTGTATCAGCAAATATTCTTTTCTTCTACACCAGAAACCAAAATGCGAAAAATTTCTGTGGTAAACTGAGACGACCACTGTGGAAAATGTACAGATTATGTTTTTGTAAGATACATCAGTTAAAATTTAAAGTCACATATATAAAGTAGTTCTGCTATAGCTTGACTATCAATCTGAAGAAGAGTTGTATAAAACATATATAAAACATTGTATAAGACTAGCTAATGCATCTGATCTATGGGTGCCACCTTTCTCATACTTCATACATAGAGGATTTGACGATACACTTTCATGATATTTGGAAAATATAGTAAGAAATCTTGCAAGAAACTTCATGTATTGAATGAAAATACCAAACTCATAACTACTTAGAACTAGGAAACCAGTCATGACATGAAGGAAATCTGGATCAAATGACATCATATTAATATGCTTTAACAAACATTTTCTGCTACTATAATAAATGTTCTAATTATCATTTAAGGAATAATAATAACAAAGCCAGCAAATATATTTTATAGGTTTCATATCTGCCTGACAGACATGTCATTCAACTCCTGGAACCATGGTTCCATTTTCCTAAAGGTTAGTATTTAGCTACCATTCCTATATTAAACTCAGCTGCCTTAAGTGTTTGTTGCTTTGATAAACCCATTCATTGAAAGACCTTCTATGAGAGAATTTGTAAGAGTATTTCATGAAACTAAGGTGATTACAGCAGCATTTGAACCTCACTGGGAATATCTTTCTAGGTACAGCCCCAACAAGGTTTGACCATCAAAAAAGGCTGACATTTAACATTTATGTTTCCAGCAAGACAAAATTACACCAAGACGAACTATACCATAAACAATAATTTTAAAGCCATAAAATGCCATTCAGCACTACCTTTCAAGATAAAGAAAAGCCAAAACAATATCAAGATACATTCTACAAAGTTTCATTTCATGACCATGGTTGACCATTAGAATTGTCCATCAGTGTATCTTCAAAGCTTCTGTCCAAGAGCAAGAGTTAATCGTCCAAGTTTCCTTTCAAAACAAGTTTGACCGTCAGAAATCACCAAGAATTCACCTTCAAGCTTTTTAAACCAAGTTTGACATTCAGAAATCACCAAGAGTTCATCTTCAAGGTTTTTAAACCAAGTTTGACTGTCAGAAATCACCAAGAGTTCATCTTCAAGGTTTTTCACCCAAGATCAATTTAGACCATCGGCAATCTTGATTATTCTGGATAACTAGGGATGACCATCCACTGACCACCTTAGTGTCACCAGCTGTACCCCAAATATTCCCAAACAGCAACTTACCTCCTTGCCGATCCCAGCATTCTTCAGATCAAAGCCGGTGAGTTTGGTCAGTTGTGTCCTCACGTCATCACTGTCTGAAATACAAAAACTCTCGTTTAGACATAATCCTTGTAGTTCTACACTGCGGCATTACTATTGTCACATATACTTGTAATCCCCTCAAACATGGTATTTATCACCTGCAGCTTGTGTTCGACATTTCACATGACACATATGGAAACAAAACATGTTAGTTGTCAGGTCTCCAGAAGCGAAACATATGAAACATATATTATCAGATATGATATGTACACACGCAAGGGTACTTAATGGCTGAGAAATTGCTTATACATTTTATATTTTGACTCAGTATATACATGCACCAGGATTAAGCAAAACTAACAACTTTTTCTAAAACATAAATTCTATTCTTCTCATCAATACTTTTTGTTAATCATATTCTCCCCAATGGACATCTATGTGTTTTGTGGTTACTGATTCCTGGATGCTGGCTTTATCACCAAACTCATGTAATATCTATAAAACCACCAGTGCTTGTAGGCAGTCAACATTGACTTTATACATCAACTGATTGAACCTGCATACTAATAAATTTAACCATTAGCTCTTAATGAAACAATCTTTGTAGTTTTAATAATTACAGGCAAACATTAATTATTAAACTTTAAACATAAATTATATATTTATGTGACAAATTCTTGTTTTCTCAAAGTTATGCATAAAAAGGTCATGTATTCAGGTTCGCATAATTTTTAAATGTCTAACAAAGCCTTTCTTTTAATTTGAAGTATTGAGTCCATATTTTTGGCCTAGAACACTGTTATCACTATTTTAGATAAGCAATACCTATTTGTGTAGACATGAGAACAAAACTACATCCGGCTTCCTGTATTTCATATACATATCTCACAGCATCTGGTGATTATTGTCAGTACAAGATAACAGGATATTATAGTCATGACGACCACACACTACAAGAGTTCTGACTGTCCTGCTCCATGTTGTAGTTATCAATGCCCATCCCAGGGATATACACAAAACCATATATATAGACAAGTAAGTATAGACTGTGAAGGAACAAAACACATAAATTGTGTCCATTTTATGAGACAAGTCATAGCATCGAGACTTCCGTAAATGTTCATTACGTTTTATTGTTCATGCAATGGAATAAAATATAGTCTTCAAGAGCAATGCACATAAACCTTCAGTAAACTGATAGCCATATCTGTGTCTGTGAAAGTAGCAGTTTCAACTCACACAGATACATCATATATCCATCACTTCATCTATAAACCAGCAAGGTGATAAAAGCCAATTCCTGTACGTCTTGTTGCGTTTCAGTAGTAGTTTCACCTCTAAAGACAAGAAACATGTTTTTGTGAAAGTATTGTCATGGTCTGGTGCCTGTCTCATTATGATGCTTGACCCTGAAATAAACAATCGTCACGATGAAAGTGACATGAAAAGTGCCTATTCCCCTAATGCTAACGTTATGGAGAGCCTCACACAACTGAAATGCACCACGGCAGCTCCATCAACCACACCATTTTCTCATTTACTCTCCTGAGCTGTAACATATTAACTTTTCTGCCCAGGCAGAAAAACTAACTCACAGAGCATACAAGTCTCTAGCTTTAGTTCTATTCGTGGGTCATGACAAATAAGATAAATAGTTTCAGCTTTATTATCTTTTTACTAATTCATGTACTGTTTGCTCTGGTTTAGAGCTGATCTCAAGGAAGTAATGTCATTTTATGTAGATGCAAAGTCTTATTACTCAACCATTCCATAAAAAGAATTTATATTCTTCTATGTGGTACAAATTGAACGTCCAATGACAGGTTAATGTGACTGGGGAATTTGTGTCATAGGAATATTGAAATCCTACAGTACAAATCCACAAACCTTTCACAAAAACTTGCTACATTCACACTTGTAGAAGCGGCACCAGAAAATGTGATTTCATTTACATGGCGAAAAATCATATTGGAAGCGTGGTCTGTAGCTGGCCGTCATCTGGCTGGGGCCACACTGTCAGGGCACTCTCCCGACCAAGGCTGAAGGTACACCAGCCATTACAAATGGACTCTGCATGTCCAGGACCCAGTGACTTGCTGTCCCGAGGGACCACACAATCTTCCGCACACATCTAATATGAAGAGCTGAGATTTGAGAGCAGTCCGCCATTATGCCTAATACCATCCATATTTGATGAAGAGCGACGGCCATATGCTTCTAGGGTATTAGCACTGACTGCCACAAACAGCGAGTGGGATATGGATTCCTGATGACAGTGACATTGAAAATACTGTGGTGACAGTCTGTCACAGAACATTGGTTATAATGTCACAAAACATCTACACTCATACCTACTGCCGGGACTGAAGAAAGTATTCAAGTTTGAACACCTGACATGTTTTTACTACATGGTCGGTCAATATGTTCAATCTTCTTTACAGGTCTTAAATGTTGAAGGTCATCAGAAATTTCAGAAAAATATAACACACCTAAACAACATGGATACTGGACTTATTTCATTAAATAGGAGCAATTGTATGACACAGAGACGATACAGTTTGGAGACTGAGTAAGTTAAAGCACACAGTGTCATGACTGAGCTATAGCTGACTTGTCATCAGGATTGTTCATGAACAGGAAACACGAAAAACAGATAAATGGAATTATAAAGTAAATGACTTTTGACTTTCAATAATACTGATGTTTGAAAAACAATTCTTAATTTTAAAGTACCCCAAATGTTCTCTTTTGTTAATACTTCATTGAAATAACAGCTGTACATGTTTGAAGTGAGTTAAATGTTTTAAAAGGTATATTCATCTGGGCCTAGATTTTCTAAGCTCTCTTGTGCTAAGATAGTCGTAAGTGCCATACATTAACATTAACTTACGACTATCTTAGCGCTAAGAGAGCTTCGACAGTCTAGGCCCTGGTGTGTAGGATCTTTGTTCACCTATTTGAATTCATCTGAAATGTCTTGTGTGTTACAGATATCTTGTGTGTTACAGATATCTTGTGTGTTACAAATATCTTGTGTGTTACAGACTTGTGTGTTACAGATATCTTGTGTGTTACAGATATCTTGTGTGTTACAGATATCTTGTGTGTTACAGATATCTTGTGTGTTACAGATATCTTGTGTGTTACAAATATCTTGTGTGTTACAGATCTTGTGTGTTACAGATATCTTGTGTGTTACAGATATCTTGTGTGTTACAGATATCTTGTGTGTTACAGATATCTTGTGTTACAGACTTGTGTGTTACAGATATCTTGTGTGTTACAAATATCTTGTGTGTTACAGATATCTTGTGTGTTACAGATATCTTGTGTGTTACAAATATCTTGTGTGTTACAGACTTGTGTGTTACAGATATCTTGTGTGTTACAGATATCTTGTGTGTTACAGATATCTTGTGTGTTACAAATATCTTGTGTGTTACAAATCCCTTGTGTGTTGCAAATATCTTGTACGTTACAAATGCAATATCTTGTGTGTTACAATGCCTTGTGTGCAAATGTCTTGTGTGTTACAAATATCTTGTGTGTTACAAATATCTTTGTGTTACAAATGCAATATCTTGTGTTACAAAATGTCTTGTGTGTTAAAAATATCTTGTGTGTTATAAATATGTGTTGTGTGTGTTACAAATATCTTGTGTGTTACATCTTGTGTGTTACAGATATCTTGTGTTACAAATGTTACAGATATCTTGTGTGTTATGTTACAGATATCTTGTGTGTTACAAATGTCTTGTGTGTTACAAATATCTTGTGTGTTACAAATATCTGTGTGTTACAAATGTCTTGTGTGTTACAAATATCTTGTGTGTTACAAATATCTTGTGTGTTACAAATATCTTGTGTGTTACAAATGCCTTGTGTGTTACAAATGCCTTGTGTGTTACAAATGCCTTGTGTGTAACAAATATCTTGTGTGTTATAAATATCTTGTTTGATTTTTCCAATGCTTTCTAAATGAAACATGGCACCAAGCTGTATACTGTGAGGTATACTCAAGCCATGTCAGCATAAACAACTGTGATTGTTGTAGGTCAGATGATTTGGGTCATATATACTTTGATTCAAACTGTAATTTTTATTATATTTATTCAAGCTTAAGACAAACAATCTAAACATAATTTTCACAAAATTAACACCATCCCTTGATTAATTGAGGTACAAAAGCTGTATTGTTTTATATAGTCCAGGTGTAATCCAAATGACTGAAACAACACAAGTACCTGACGCTGACGACATATATTTAATAACAGAATGAAGCTTTTAGCCAAACCTTTATAAACAATTCAATGATTTGCACATAACTTTGATTTAGGTAGAAGTAATTTCACTGAACAAAATTACATAGCCAACATATGCTCTCTAATTCCAAACGATTCAGAATCAATGTTGCATATAACTTGGCATTTGTCTTATTTTACAACTAACTCAAAATTTAAGATTCTAAATACAACTAGTAAAGAGGAAAACCCTGGCAAGGGCGTCAAGGGAATTGAACAATTTACTTTGGCTTTCAGTGAATCAATGTTAGAAGTAAGAAGCTTTCCACGTTGATTTTTCGCTTTGGTGCTTAAATCTTGTTTAAACATACTCCCATTCTGAAGAAACATTTTTCATCTAATTTCCTACCATGAAAAAATTCATAAATACACAAGATTTGGGCCATTTTGAGGTAAAACACTGGCATTTGGCTATGTTAGCCTGGAACGACATAGTTTGGGATCATTTGCCATGGAATCTATACCACAAATTTGATGAATGAGCTCACATGTGCTGTAATCAATGAGCCCACCGCATGCAATGTCCAAGAATTATTCAAGATTAGCTCTACCATAGGAAATGTTCCCAGATCTTTGTACACTCAGCAAATCAAAAGTTTAATGTTGCTGGAAGAACACAAAATTAGGCACGTCAGGTCATGAAATATGTTTATCATCCCCCCGGACAGTTCCATCTTGCCTCTGTCCATAATCAATGAAGGAATATTTTGTTTAGTCTGCGACGGTAGGATTTCTTTCCAGTCACGTAGTCC